AAAGTAAAGTAAACTTTCTTAATTGTTACACCTCTAATCTTCTTTCGCTCATATGACCGTATGCAGTTACGAGCGCCGTAAAACCTCTACTAAAACTAATAGACTTTATGGGAATACCTCAAACTGGGCACTCCTGACGTAATTCTGGCTCAACATAGATTACGTATCATGTGACTCTATTTGGAACCAAATGAAAGGCAAAGGGGGAACAGTTGACTAGATTGTAATTGTGTTTTTTTCCTACATTTTTGCACCCTTAGTTTTAGTAGAGGTTTTACGGCGCTCGCAACTGCATAAGGTCATATGAGCACCAGAAGATTAGAGGTGTCACAAGAGAGTAACAAACATTAAAAAGAAGGGGAGGTAAGGACGATAGATGTTTGATAGGAAAGAAGGAGCAAACCACACTAGAGCACCCGCCTACCACCCACTAGGAGGGTTTTACAATTCAAGTCATTTCTTGCGGTACATTGCGGCCTGCAGCACACGACAGATTTATATAGTGGCGTCCTAAAGAAACTTGAAAACGTAATCATCCAATCATCGTGTTATTTATAGCCTTGCACTACCCAGTCATGCAGCATACCAATTTAGACCCCCCAAAAATAAAGTAAAAATTGTATAATGCAGAAGTTGCACTAATTCCAATACCGCTGAATTGTGTCCTCTTGTCCTTTTTTCAGTATTCTGTGGAGAAAGCCTTGTTTCGTGCCCACAAAGAAATGAAAGGAAATCCCACAGTTGTGTGGCTGTCAGCATCTGTTGCCTATTATTTCTGACGAGAGCTCACGAGATAAACGAGTTAATTCTTCGCTAGGCCCATGAACTATTTGATAGAATTCTGCCAAGAATTGTCGTTTATAATAGGAGTCTTGTAAGCCCCATTTCTTTTGACAGGCTGTTTATTTTCTGACAGAAGGCCATGAGTGTGGATAATATTAGACCCAGGGAAGTGTGGGCATGTTAATACTCGTGATATCGTGTGACGGAATGGCGTTTATCATCTGCACGTTGAGTGGATTTACGAATGCTTTGAGTTACGATTCATTGTCCAATTTCTTTCCCACGAGATTGGAGTTGCTCTTACAATGTGTGTGTTTTTTCTTTGTTTGTTTGTTTGTTTGTTTCGCATTGTGTTTCCAATGAACTTTGCCTGTTACCTTCGTTTGAATAATTCATCAAACTATTTTAATTCATTGTCTATGTCGGTCTATTTGTGGGTCAGTTTGTTTATTGTATCAAACTATATTGTGTGGGTGGTTTGCTTCTTTCTTATCAAACATTTATCGTCCCGATCTCTCCTCCTGTTTTGTGTATGTTAATCTCTTGTAACACCTCTAATCTTCGGCACTTATATGACCTTATTGTGTTGCAAGTGCCGTTAAACACTTACTAAAACTTAAACTATTAAGTCAAACTATATTATTGCCTGTGTCAGTTTATTTGTTTGTCGGTTTGTTTATTATATCAAACTATATTATTATCTATGTCGGTCTATTTGTTTGTCAGTTTGTTTATCATATCAAACTATACATATTGTCATTGTCCGTGTATTTGTTTGTCAATTTGTTTATTGTATCATATATATATATATATTGTCATTGTCCGTGTATCCTCAGAGCCAACCCAATCCGCCAGGAATGCGCAGCGTACAACGGCTCCGTGTGTCGACCCTACCTACAGGGTCGCATGGTCCTCCACAACCGCACACAGGGCTACGGCCCCGAGGACATGCTGGAGAGCCACCTGGCTGAGATGACCGCCCTGGAGCTGTTTGCCCCGCGGGAAAATGGCGCCAGCCAGGGGTTCTGTGAGGGTCCGGCCCATCGTCTGCTGTGTCACCTGGTGTTCCCGGATTGTCGCGACGATAGCAGTCCGCCCTTGCAAGTGTGCAGGTAGGTTGTTGTGTTGTTGTTGTTGTTGGCTGTGTTGTTGTTGTTGTTGTTGTTGTTGTCGTCGTTGTTATTGTCGTTGTTGTTATTGTTGTTGTTGTTATTATTATTATTACAATTATTATTATTGTTATTATTATTACTATTATTAATATT